AATTTTACGCATTTATAATCATGCAGAATTTCAAATCAAAACTATTTATTGCGACAACAAATTCAAACTGGTATTTGATGACGTGAAAGATAATATGGATGTGACCATGAATTATGCCGCGCCGGGCAAACACAAACCAACTATTGAGCGCAGCAATCAAACATTGAAAGGATTATTCCGAGCACACTATCATCAAATGGTGTTCAAGGCAATTCCCAAGGTTTTGACTATTGCTTTACTCAAGCATGCGACAAAGTTAATATCCCACAAAGGAGGGAATTTTGAAATATTGCAGTCCACATATGATTGTGAGATGAAAACCGGTGGATTTTCAAAAGAATGTGTTGCTGAAATTGGATCCTTTATACAAGGATATGGACACACGACCAACAACAGTCAACGATCAAGAACGATTGATGGTATTTATCTTGGAGTAAATGACAGCATACAAGCAGGACATATGGTACTTGATCTTAATACAAAAAAGACAGTAACGAGACCCTATGTAATGGTACCTCCGATCACCAAGCAAGTGATCAAAATTGTGGAACAAATGGCACACAACGAGGGCGTTCGTGATTTACGTACTTATCATCGGAAGAATGGTGAAATCATATTGGATGGTGATTTGCTCGCAGGAGTGGACCCAGATGAACTGTGGGATGATACATATATTCCATGCAAAAATGAATACAAACAAAGCGATGGGAATCTTCGTAATGAAAAGATTGATCAAGATGAAGTTGATGCTTTACTTGAAGAAGCGGAAGAATTTATTGAAAACTATGACAATGAGAACACCAAAAATGTTGAAGAACAGACAGAAGACAGGAGTGTTGCAAGTATTTATGATTGATTAAGACAGAGAAATGAAGATGATAATTCCAATCAAGATCCCAATCCAAATGAAAAATATCAGAATGATGAAGATTTAAATGAAAAGATTCAAGAAATTGAAGAAGACATACAAAAATACAAGGAAGATGTTGAATCACTTAACGATGAAGAACAAATCGAGGAAACCCGCGAAACATAGTATGAGGAAAATGACGATTTAATTGATCAAATTCAAGATCAAATCAAAGAATGTGAAAATCAAGTCAATGATGTTCGCAAATTTGTGGCAAATTTGGATGATAATGAGAATGAAAATGATGAATCTGACAATAATTCGGACAAATCAAGTGACGACGATAATTATGAAAATGATGAAGTGAATAAAGAGGACATATTCAGTCCAAGGAAAACCAGGAGTGGTAAATCTTATGTTCAAAATGGAATAAAAATGAGACCAACCAAACGTAATAATCAGGATCAACCAAGGTATAATCAACAATACCTGAATCAAAAGAAACCGAAGTGTAATTTGCTAAACAGGAGTGCAATGAGAAAAGAGGAAAAAGTCAAAAAATTGAATTGCTTACTTCTAACAATCAATATACCATTTGAAAGTTTGTAAATCTTTTGCACTCAACGTCAGGTGCATTCCCTTTGTTCCATTCAGATAATACATCAGCTTCACTAGCTTCTTCCAATCAGTTTCATTTGGTTTCTGTACTCTTGTAGAAAGTACTGAAATAGTTGGAGCAATATCCAATCTCACTCTCTTACTCAGAAATAATCCTTTGAATGTGTGAAAAGTTTCACGTTTCTCATCATCCAATTTTTCTCCTTTTCCGATTGATAGCAAATTGTTACTTGCTGGTGTCTTACACCCTTCATTTTCCTTGAACTTCACAGGAAATTCATTCAACATTTGATTAACATAGTCATCCATTCCGACTTTGACTTTCCCCCTTTTAGTGAAATCTAGGGTTGTTCGCAAATATTCGTGAATTTTTCCTTGCTTGGATTTGACTGGTTTGATTGAACCTTACTTTTGATTCATCCATTCACAATAATCATCATTCACTTTTGGATCAATGTGGCTTGATAATAAATCGTCCACATGAAATCGAATAGTTTGTTGTTTGCCATTCACAATCTTGTTGGCAATACATCCATTGTATGGATTGAAAATAAAACCATGTTTCTCGATGTCTCCTCTCAACCTTTTGTACCAGAGCATAAAGGCCTCTAACATCCCGTAGATGGCTCGTAATACTCTCACATGTAAATCACGCGTTTTCCGTTTTCAATTACAACGTAATCACGATACCTTGGCTCCAGTCGTATCATCATGTCGACTAATAACCCAGTGATCTTCATCATCACTCTTGATTTCGCATCCATTGGCATTTGAGTTTGAATAAATGCATTTGGAATATCCAAAGACATCATATCTCGTCCTTCATACGCATCAATTACACATGTGATCATAATCGCTTCCAACGCTGCAGTCGGACTTGAAGTATCCTCTCGAGACAGCCATTCTCGAGTTCCATCTCCTTTGTATACACATCTTCCTTTTATTTCACCAGTGTTTTTCTCTGCTAATAACATCATAGCATCTTGGGCTCTTCTTTTTTCAAAATCAGTCATGTCTTCAACATAAATTGGTTTCCAACATTCTCTTTGTATCAATTGATCAAGTTCTTTCATCACAGCCTTACTGCCTTCTTCTTTGAATAATTTCAGTCCCTTATTTAGGTAGTATTGTTGGATAAACGATACTCCTTCATTTTGAACTTTATCCTTGATTTGTTGCATGAATTGTGCAATCAGAGTTGCCTTATCTTTGTTGGCTAAAACAGCCAGTCTGGTCCTCAAAAATGTGACAAGCTGGCTGTTTTAGCCAACATTGTGTGACAAGCTGGTTCTGACCCAGCTACCGGTATATCCTATCTATTTGTCATGCCTGAAGACCACTTTTAATCCATATAAACCTGGATTTTCCACAAGTACTTTGTTAGTCCCAACAGTACTTCATTAGTTCTTACACGCGCACGTGAATTCCCAACACACTCCTTCGAGCGATGGATCGTGCATGTGATTCATTCGATCGGACATTCTGTCTGTCCGTCTGTTGTCGGCCCTTATTCAATTGTTCGTTTACTCACTCCTTTGAGCCCCTATTCTCCAGGGATTTGAACCCTTGACCTCAGCCTTGTCTCTTATCTCGAGACCTCCTATCTTTTGCAGTCTATCTACTGCAGCTAGGTACTGAAACTCAGTATATCACACCATGTTGGCTAAAACAGCCAGCTCACCACTTCCTATTAGATCTTATTCTACTGCTATTCTTGCCAGAAGTCGATCAACAATGATCTCCACAAGCAGGTACAAAAAATCTCTTCTGAAAATAATAATATCTGAAACATTAATCGATTAAATGCTAGGTAGCGCATACGATTGCCGGTGGGATGTTTGGCTGTAAAGGTCAAGTACTGTGGAGCGGCGAGTCAACAACAAGTTCGAACCATGTGAGGCGTCTGAATAATCAGAAGTTGCTCTAGTCAGAACCAGCTGGTTCGGACTCTACCTGCAGCGTGGCGGGGTGATTTCGGGGCGTTGTTTCCACGAAACGTTGTTCAAGGGGAATGGTCAGCAGGGTGGAAGAAGCGATGAAGAATACGGCGTTGAGGCGCCAGAGCGCGGCGGTAGGCCGTGCATTCCATCCTCACCAGCTTCAGCCACTCCTCACGGTCTACCAGTGGTTTGTTCAAGACTGTCCGGCGCTTGACCGAAAGCATGCGTTGAACAACCTTAGGTAGGTCAGTGGGACCCATATCAAACTGGTTGTGTATCC